AATAAACGGGTCACATTGCTTAACATTCATTGCTGTTCTATTATGATTTTTGGTACTATTTTGGTTATATTATTTGCGAAGAAGATAATACTATTGGACTTAAGTGAAGGGTGTTAAGGATTCGACTATAGCTTTCCCACGACGTGCAAAGTTTTACGTATGTTCCATTTTTCGATGCAATGTATACTTACTCAGCATGCATTTATGTATGTTGCGAGATTGTTAAGTATTGTTCAACATATTTAAAAAAAAAAAAAAGTGTTTGTCACCAATAAAATCTCAGGCAGGCAGTATGCAAATTGTTGTTGCAAATATATGGTAGTTGTACAAGATGGTGTTGTTGGTTTGTTGCACAATTACCCAATGAATCATGATAGGCTGCTGGCTGACATCAATTTAAGAAAATCAGTGAATCTTTTTTTTACATTACATTCAATAGATTGCATAAATGACACAGCGACCGTATACAATGTGTGTCCTCTTGTACGTTACATTTATGGATGTATGTACACATCAACTTATCAATTCACCACGTTTTATATGCTATAGCATATAAAGCATGCAAAAAGAAAACGTTCCTTTTGTACGTTCAATAAATGAGTAGAATAAACGAATGATAAAAAAAGAGAAACTTCACATATTTTAATATCATTAACAGCAGTGTGTGTTGTGTGTCTTAGTTCTTTGCCTCAATAGAAGATCAATTAGTCGTTCAAAGCTAAATTAGGTCAAAAAAGCGCATTGTTTTCAACGTTCCGCCTATTTGAAAAGTCATTAAAGTACCTTTTTATTTATTTAATGCATAAGTGATAAATAATGAAAAACGTTTTTTTTTTTTTTTTCTTAATTATAATTACATTAAAAGAAACTTGAGCTTCAATATTTTCAAAAGTTTATTTTATATTTTGTATTGTTTGTATGCTTATAAATATTAATTTTTTCATATCCACTCAGCAAATAGGAAGTCGTAAGTGATAAGAGGGACAGACTGCTTTTCTTCGTCAAGTAAAAGCACTGCAGTGGGTCACAGCCGTCCGTCCATTCAGTATCTCACGCTACTTCACTTAATGCAGTTATTCATATAACAATTCCTCAAAATAAGGCTTTGTATGTGAAATGGTCGGAAAAGTTGGCCGATCCGAACAGTTTTCAGTAGCGTTCGTTCTTGGAAAAAAAAATGTGGATTTACCACATCTGATCCAAATCACTTTCAATAGCCTTCGTCCTGGATCAACCAGTATGATAAAAGGTGGATCTATTCCAAGTTCTTCTGGGTAATGCATACATTCGAACAAACTTAATGTATCCTTGTACCACAAGCGCAGTAGGGTAAAAGGAAATCTACAAAATTACAAAACCAATACAATTCTTTATTTTTCTTTCACGGTACACTATACGTATTTGCAATGTGGAAGTCCATTAAATTCGCGTACGGCTCTATTTTACCTTCATTTTGATCGTGCAGGCTAAACAAACTCTATCTTCGCTTGATTTGAAAACTGAGTTCAAATCGAGAAATGTGTTTCAATCGAGACATAAACAAGGTTGTATTTGCGCTATCATCGATGGGCGAATAACAATATAAATTGTAGAGAGAAGAAGAGGAAAATCCATAAATAAGCAAAATAATAAAATCTAAATAAATAATTTTCAGTTTATCTAAATATCAACTAAAGCAAGTAAGTGCATTAAAGGTTTTGACTGAACTTCGCAAAAAATAGAACTTATTCACTTCAACTTACTTGGAGAAGAACGACTAGTTCTGCTATTTTCCTCTTACTTCGTTCGTATAAAGAACAAATCACGGGCGAGAATCATGCAAAAGTTCCAAGGGAAGATATTAAGGCATTAGAGTAACCCACAGTCCTTACAACCACCAAAATAGTTACTTACTTTTCTCAACACCTTCAAATATCTGCCATTAATGAGATTAGCTAGTCTTTATATTTGCATATGCTATTCGACAGCAGCCTTACAATCGAGAAATTTTTCACTCTGTAGTAAGAACAATGCACATCCCGTCGCCTGTCGATACATTGTCTCGATAATTGAGAACAATAAGCCCAAAGGTAAAAACTACGGTCCAGTGATCTTAGACAAATTTTGCAAATTTTGAAAGGTGGCAATGAAGCTGTGAACGGCCTGCTACCTAACAATAGCCCTTTAGTCCTGTAAGGCAATCAATTCAATCATGGATTAATAGTTATGGCGAAAACTTTGAAAAGTTGAAAAGCTTCTAATGTTGAATACTCTTTTCAGTGTTTCGTTTTCCAATACATATCGACAAACTCTTGCAATGTAATAGTCAGTGTTAAGACATTTCCTGTCATACAAACCTCGCATATTGAAAACTTACGTAAGCAGCAGTATCTACCCGTTTATTTCTATTAATCTGAGATCATAATAACTAGACACTGCATAGTCAGTCATGACAGAACTTCCGTTTGATTGTGTCTATCAATACATGTAGTAATTGCTGCACCTTGATAAACGGCACTCGTTATTACCTTTTTGTTCTTTATCATAATTTTGTAGAGAGATACTTCCCTGCCCTTTGGTACCACATTTGCTAATAATAAATGCAACACATGTTCAAATTTTCTTTCAACAATAAACATAAAATTCGTGAATGCTCGATTTAAGATTTATTTATTTAAAAAGTGTTAACATTGATTAAAATTGATTAATTTAACGTTTAATTAAAGTAAATTCTCTAAAACTTAAATGCTTTAGATTTCATTCTCTAAATTACTTGGAAACACTGTTATAATAAATATAACTAAAAGCAGTGATTAACATTTTCTTTTGTTATTTATTTATTTATTTACTTGCGATTTATTGCAATATATTTATCATTTAGTACCCATAGATAGTTTCAATTGGTGTCAATGAACATTAACTTATATATTATTGCACATTTTTTTTTTTTTTTTTTTTTTTTTTTTTTTTTTTAATATGCGAATTGATTGTGGGGCGTTTTTCTTTCTGTCTTGCCATAGAAGAAAACTATATCGTTAAGGCACACAATTTACAGATACATAGTTTAACAATTAACTCAATTAATAAATATTTATATAAAAATGTTATATTATTATAGGAATTCATTTGTGATTTGATTTCCTTATTTTCTACAATTTTCATTTAACATTTGTTTTTTGTTTTCGCAGATTTCCTTTTAATAAATATCAATTCGAATAGAAAAGCAATTGTTTTTTTAACAAAAAAAAAAAAAAAAAAAAAAAAAAAAAAATTGAAAAAAAAAAAAAAAAAAATTTATTTTTTTAAAAAAAATTTTAAAAAAAAAAAAAAAAAAAAATTTACTTTGAAGCGAAATCCGTCCCAAGTTTTGAATAAATTATTTTATCATTGAAAAGTCAAATGTTACTAAACAAAAAAATATTTTATTTTTAAATCCCATGCAGATGTGCACACCAACCAACAGGATTTGATAATCATTTTCTTGAATCGACCTAAGCTTGTCTGTCCGTGTGTCTGCCGTTATATTTTTGGGGTTCAACTTAAAAAAAATTTCGTATGCCCACCTGGTTTTCCCCAGAAGCGAAAACTATTCGAAATGATTCGAATCCGGCCAGTTTTTCTGTCACTCTCCGTATTAAGTCTTAATTTGGGTTAAATAATTTGATATATGGTACGGCGAGCTATGGCGCGCTGTTTTGGAAAACCTTCCAAACCATCCTCATATTTTCTGTCCTTTTCTCATTCATTACTCTTCTATTAAAACTACGTATTTTTTTTTGTATTTTGAAATGGACTGAATATACTCTGCTTAAGATAATAACCACTATTTACGTTAAACAAAAAATGTAAAACATGAAAATCAATAAACATTTATAGGAAACAAATTCATGAACTGAATAAATCGGTTACAATAGTGCTAGAGAAGTGTAGTGGGTTTAAAGTGTCGTAGCTCTACTCTACGATTTTTTTTCATTACACGCTATAAACGCGAAGTAAAAATTGATTGTAAGGAAAGCAGAATTTTCGCTTAGAGGACCTTACTATGAGACCATAGTTGAAACGTGAAACCAATCCGTGGCGAGTTGAGGTACGTTGATGTTACGTTTAGCTCGAAAAACATACATCCGTGCAGCGAACTTCATCGAAAATATCTCTTAGATCTTTAGATTGGACAAAGAAGAAGACATAAAACGAACAGACGGACAAACAAGCTTAGAATCATTTTCCGAATCGATCTGTATAACAAAAGGACGGGTCTAACCCAAGTCTTTCTAGATGTAACCACCGCCCCAACTTAACATACCGTGTACAACAAAGGCTGTAGAGTGTAATTGCAAGAGTAAATGTATACTAAAGATAACCGAATTTTTCAATTAAACATTTTCGCTTAACATAACGTACACTTTGTACTTTAAGCTGTGTCCAGATCATGTTAATGCCAGCACATAATACACAAACATCTCGTTGAGCGTAGCAATACAAAACCTTATACGTCCTTATATACGTCCTTAATGAAGCGTAAGAAATGACTGACAAATGATGACTGGAAGTCATACTAGAATAGGGTTTTTAATGCTTTGTCAAATCATTGAATTTTAATAATTATAATTAGTGCTGATGGCCACTTCAAACTCTAATTCAATAATGCATATATGAATTTTTTAATTCATTATAGAATTATAGAGAGAATCCAAACAAAATAAATAAGTAAAAACAAATCTACTTTCAGGCAATTAAATGCTTTTATTTATGCATAATCAAAAAAAAAAAAAAAAAAAAATTCCAATTTCAATATGTCATAAAATTTAACACAAAATATAACGGTTTATATGATCGTATAAGCCTTTGTCTGAAAAGCCAATTATATTAATTGTTTATTATCTTTATTATCAGTTGTAATATATTACATAATCAATATTTTATTATTATATTTATGCAAATTATTTATTATATTTTTTTATTTTTTCATTTTAATTTTAAACATATTAATTAAATTTTATCTTTCTTTCATTATCTTGCAGAACACATCACCTCTCTGGGAGGATTTTGTTGCGAAGACTAGTAAATTGCATGCCTGTTTAAGGTAAGCTTATGTGATACATGCAAATGCACATTAATATAAACATACACAGAGATACGAAATGTATATGCAAATTGCGTGCTTAAATTCAAATACATATAGAAATAATTCCGTTTGCTTACTTACTTAGATAGACTTGCAGCATATAAAAACATATGTAATGTCATGTCATTTTTGACTAAAGACATGTTAATTAATGTGTGAATATAGACGATGATACCACCGCTCAAATTATATATGATATTTATATGTATATAACTGCAGCATAGATTGTGAATGCTTGCTTAATACCTTAATATACATATAATTATATTTATATTTCAATATAATAAAGAAAACATTTTGCAGCAAACGCTGGCATCAGTGCGTAGACGAGATTAGTTCCAATTTAAATCAGGGTCACAAGCAAATATTATTTTTAGTACTCGTGAGGCACTATAAAGACAGATTGAAAGTTTTGGGTTAATAAACGGATTAATTTGATGCAGTAATCTTCACTTTGTGTGTGCTGTTGAAGTCTTTTATACCCAAGGATTTGGGGTGTACTCACTTTGTCACAACGTTTGCAACACACAAAAGGAAACTTCAGAGTTCTCACCAGGTGTATATATAGTCTTGATAGATAAGCATCAAATTTTCAACTCGCTTTATGCTTCTCCGTCCATTTCTTTTCTCTTTTTTAGCTTTTTTTATTAGGATAATGGTGATGGTTATAAAAGATTCGTTCACGACCGAATATAATTTTTTTACTTATGTTTATTATTATTATAAATTTAGCCAGAGTATAAATTCTAAGACTAAAGTCTTAAAGCACTAGCATCTAAGGCTTTCGGCTTTTATTAAAAACTCTACCGCACTTGAGATTTGAACCCACGACCATTGAGTTGCTAGTCGAGACTCTTGCCTACTCGGCCACTCAGGCGGATACTTATGTTTTATTTGCTTCAAAGCAATTGAACCGTATCGAAAAATGGAAGTAGATGTACAAACAAATTCGTCCGCCTGAAATGAGTTGCTTGATAAAATGTACCTAACGTATTCAATTTTCCCGAAATTTTAGGTGTAGATAACTTGGGTATTGTCGTTTGGGCGATGTAAGTTTCAGACATGGGTGCCATTTATGGAACTGCAATTTTTCTATTCTTAACTCGATTAAAAGTGAAAAAATGCAGCTCAAGCTACGGAAATGACTAAATTGGCTTGGGGCGAAAAAGCAATAACCTACGAAATCGTTAGAAAGTGTTTTGCGTGGTTTGGAGCAAAGAAATTTTTATCCTCAAAACGATTAAAGTCGCATACGTTCGTTCGTCTATAGCAAAAGCAAGTAAGGAGATAATTTTCAGTTTAGGCTGCATCCCTGCCTGCACACCGCAGCCGGCATATTCTCCATACATCGTTCCTTCCAGTTACCACTTATTCACACAGATGGAGTCGTATTTAAAAGATTAGTTGTTTACAGAACTTGAAGATATGCGAAAATTTTGTTATTTGCTATATCGCTTCCAAACCCCAAGAGCCGCGAGGGCATCCATAAGCCATCCGATAAATGCCAAATAATGATGATGATGCATATTGCGTTTATTAAGTTACTTAGCTATTATATTTCAAGTAAAGTTGAATTTGATCGAAAAACGGTACGAACGGAACGCTATTGCTTCTCAGAGATTTGAAACCGCGAACATCGACTTGGTAATCTTGCAAAGACGTGCAATTTACAATATTTTATGATGAAAATTCATCGTTAATAGCGACATAAAAAATTAACTATAGCAAATTTGGACAATCCAAATCCATTTTGGGTACTTCACCCCGTGTAAAGAATCTCATGAAAAATGAACATTTATATGACAATAAAGTTTCACTTTTATCACTTTTATGACGAAAATAGTTGGGAAATAATAAGGTCGTTGACAAAAAAATCTAAACTTGATAAGTGTGGACCACATTATTAATTTATTCCCTCATAAGGACTTTTATAAAACGCTTACCTTTAGGCGAATGTAAGGATTAACTTTTTTCTGTTTTATCACGAAAACGAATGAAGAGCTGTCTTAGGCGAATCGGTATAGGGTGTTGAAACATTACTAAATCTGAGCCACATCAGTTCACGCTTTTAGTCCCGTGTATTTTTACGTGGAAACAAAGTTCAATTTTTTTCTACTTTCCCAACCAAGTGAATAAAGGATTTCATTAGGTGAAAAGGGGTAGGGTATTTAAAGTCGTCTCTTATCCGCCTATGATTTTTCACTCATTTTTACTTTTTTTATTTATTAATCCGAAGAACGTCCCTATATGAATTTACAATATGTGATGGTCAACTGTAATCGACCATATGTCCGTTGACGGCATATTAAATGTTAACCTACTCAAATGCAATCAAGAGTCGACAAAGTCAAATTGTAAATTTGGCAAAGTTGAGAAGTAAGTAAATGTCCAAATGTAAGCCAAAATATTGTTGAGGAACACTGTTTGGGACATGTGCGCGTTTTCTTTATTTCTTTCCTTATTAAAAACTTCGAAAGAAGTTAATTTGTCTGCATGAACTCAGACGCAATTCACTCAGTCGCACGAGCGCGGATAAATTAATTAATGGTTCGTGAAAGATGATCAAAAGGTGATTAGGAACAACAATTTCTAAATATTAAGCTAACGATGACAGTGATTTTGAGTCATTTTTATGCATATTACTGTGTGGGTTTACGGTCTAATTCATTTTTGTTTTCTTACGTTTGCAGGGCGGCTATACAGGCTATAGCAGCGTATTTGGATGCTTTCCAAAAAATCGCAGACGCAGCCACAAATTCAAGAGGTAAGTTCAAATGATGATCACGGAGAGAGAAAGAGAGGAAATGAAGAAGAAAAGTAAAAGACAATCATTAATATAAATGAGTTTATATTCGATGTTTTTTACGCGATTCAAACAATTTTTATTTTAGATATTTTTGCAACAAATATCAACAGCAACGGCAACGACAACGGCAACGGCAACAACAAACTACTCTTTTTATGCCATTGTTGCTCTTGTGATTATTTACATAAGTCATTTGCGGTCAATGATCTAATTTTTGCCGTTTCTTTTTGTTTGTGCTTTTGTATGCATGTATGTGTATGAGTGTGCGCGTGTGTGTGTGTGTTTTTGTCTAATTTCTTCAAAAAATATTTTCTGATATTTAAATAAAATTTTTGAAAATTTTTTTTTTTTTTTTTTTTTTGCTCCTTATGTTCATATAGAGATACTTGTAGTTTAAGACACGTTATTGTGTATCGCTTGTTGTCTGCTTTTGAATGAGATATTTACAAAGTATTTAATGCAGTTTCGGTTTTTTCGTGTGTGCACTTCATTTTTATCTATGCTAGTGGGTGGGTGGGCTATAGTGAGAGGTATATTATGTAATACCCATATACAGAGTTATATATATAGATTTTTTTTTTTTTATTTATTTATTTCTTTATTTATATATATATATATATATATATATATATGTATACATATATATATATATTGCAAATTGTGGCTAACCGTGGCTACGTGTTTGTTGCAAGTGCCTTCGTTTACGGTGGTTTTGGTTTAGTATATCGGTATACAATTTTATTTACTTTACTTTACTCTGTTGTGGTTTCTATTTTATTGTTGTTTCCTTTCCTTTTTTTTTTTTTTTTTCGTCTTTCAATTCATTGTCAGAAATTGGGTTATTGTTCTGCAAGGCATTCGCAGCACACACACTTTGCACATGCTTGTTAAACGTAACATTTTCTCGAATGCTACGTTTTATACGAGATAATGGGCAAATAAGTGCACAGCTAAGCATACATATGTATATATGTATAAAATTCATCTGAACATTTGTATATTATTTTATTACTCGAAATATTTGTGTGTGCCTGTTGCTTAACTTAAGCTCTGAAGAATTGAATGCTTGAAGAGATGTTTTAATTGCTGAATGCTAAACTAAATATCAATGTATTTGTAACGTTTCTTATTGTCAGCAGAAAAAAAGAAAAGGGAAATAAATATTTACATATTAGCTAGCCTCCCTTTCTCTTAAGAGTCCACTTTGATTCTGAAGGATAAAAGAGGCATACATTCCATAATAACTTTTTTGAATGTAATAAAAGAAATATTTTTCGTAAACTTTTAAACATGCAAAAGGACAACTTTTGAATAGTATCCTGTGAAGTTTTCATTTAAAAATTTAAAAAAATTTGTCATCTTAGGAAATGCCCTACCCTTGCGGTGGATAGTATATCCATCCAGGAGATGTGATGAATAGCATATCCTTATTGTGGATAGTATATCCATATAGAGGATATGCAGTCTTGTCCATTTTTTAAATATCCTCTACAGAGCATCTTACAGGACTGGATTCATTTAAGGTAATGTTCGATGACAAGTCTTCACATAGCGGGAAATAGCTCGACCATAACCTGATAAGTGTTCGTTTTCAACAGCATCAAGGGTTTCGGGATTGTTCTACGTAAGCCCTCCAAAAAAAAAAAAAAAAAAAAAAAAATCCAGCGTTGTGAAATCCCACGATCTTGGCGGCGAATTCATGCGTCCGGGATATTTCAGGCACACCAGCGCCAAGACGGAGCGCGTTGTGTAGCTTGACACACTGTCCCCACCATATATCCCACCACATATCTTCAACTTTTTGACCACATACGTGTGGCTTCTAGTACTTTTCGATTGTAATCACTATCTTTAATAGAAAGAACAAAACTTTGATAACAAATCACTCAGTAAAAAACCAAACCACAAGAAAAATCTAAATCTTACTGTTTGGCTGCTTTGATAAGGGCTTTTAGGCTATACAGTTGGAAACGTACATGATAATGTATAAAGTGATTCTTAAAAAAAGATCCCTGAAGAGGTTACAAAAAAAAATTTTAATTTGACTTTCAGTTTTTATCCTTTAATCGCTTTTATAGATGGCCTACTGAAAATTAAAAAAAAAAAAAACGAGGTGTTACCAAGTTGTGCAAGACGTGATTTCAAACACCGAAGATATGCGTGATATAATACACCATTTGAGGATGACATACAGATCTTGCCACCATACATTTTTTAGGCGGTACCAAATTTCCTACAGAGTTATAGTTGTTTTACTGCTGGTACTTCTTTATTCGGTTCGGCAAGACTGGTTGCTGTCCACTGGGCTGACTGTTGATTTAACTCTGAAACGTAACGATGTACATATGTCTCGTTCCTTGTCACACGTCGCACGAAAGATTCGATTATTTTCATAACGCTGTTGTCAAATGTAAAGAAACAAGGCATAAATGTTCACGCGAAAAGGCGGAGGAGCTGGGTTTTGACATCTTGAAGATGTCAGTTATCTCAATCAATCTCAGCTTTCGCTCTTCCAGAATAATTTGAGAGGTTATTTATGTGTTCTGAAACGACTAGAACGTTCAGCATTATCCAAAGTCCATCGACAAATTTTTGTTTTCGACGGACAGATGCCGTAACATTTTTAAAAACCATTGTTTAATTGACGCACGAAATATTTTTTTATCGATTGTTTTGCAATTTGCACTAAAACCGCTATGACATCTAGCCTAACTGGCAAAGTGCCGTGAAATGATCACAGGTAACGTTTGAAGACACACTTGGCAGTGTTGTCATATATTGTCGCACTGTCTGCTAACAATGCTGTTAGATCGGAGACTTATTGCATGATCTCTTAACTACTCTCTGAAGTCAATTTTTAAATCCAACCAATGCTGGTACGAATAGATAATAACAACTTTGGTTCTCAGATGAATGCAATTCTTATTAATGCGTTATTCAATAATTGTAAGCGAAGAATATTGTCAAAACATGTCCACAAATCGTTTAAATCCTCCTAGATACACTTTTCATATGTTTTTTTTCTCCCCTGTTTCTTGTCCTAGTTTATGGTATGATGAGAAAGAAAACAGGTCCTATGTTCGCCAGATTTTCATTGCCGCATTAAAAATAAACGCATAGTAAAATGTCAGTTTATCATTAATGCAACAACAATCGTACAAACAACAGGATGACTTGTTATACCAGTCTTGCGGCACTTGTGTCGATCTTTTCATATTTTTCACGCCAATTTGTCTAGTCGTTGTAATTTTTGCCTATAAATCTCTATAAATATACACGAAAACTTGTAGAATACAATTCATATACATATATATTATATATTATATATATATATAATTATTTATTTACGTACATCTCAACTTTTATAAACGGACATATGTATATGGGACTAGGTCAGTAACTGGTTTTGTTTTGTGATACAAGTTTGTTTTCGTGCCGCCAGCATCTGCTGCATTATATTGTGCATATGCAGATACTACATTAACTGCAATGAGGATTAGTTTTTTTTCGCAAATGCGGCTGTACGTACTTTAATGATGAACTAGAAATTTGTATACACTTTTTTATAATACTCACTGTTTTCTTGGGCTCTTTTTTCATGCGCGATAAAAAAAAAAAAAGAAAAAAAATTTACTTAAATGATTGGTGTGTGTTGCACTTATCTAAGTATTCTTTTTCATCATCATGTTGAAAAGAAGATTTCATTTTTTTATTTATTTTTTTTTTTTTGCAGGAGCTTCCAAAGAGATTGGCACGGCCCTAACACGCGTTTGCCTGAGACATAAGGCGGTCGAAACACGTCTAAAAACATTTACAGCCGCCATTATGGATTGTCTTGTGCAACCATTACAAGTATTTCTATATTTTTTCCTTTTTGTCTTTTCTTCTAACCTGTTTTTTGATTAAATTTGCATTTTTATAGGAAAAATTAGAAGACTGGAAACGTTCGGTGGCCACCATTGATAAAGAGCATGCCAAAGAATATAAACGTTGCCGCACTGAATTGAAGAAACGTTCCACCGATACGTTGCGCTTGCAGAAAAAAGCTCGCAAAGGCCAATCAGGCACTTTGCAATCTCTAATGGATTCGCATATGCAAGATGTTACTCTTAGAAGAGCCGAATTAGAAGAGGTGGAAAAGAAATCTTTACGTTCCGCTATGATTGAAGAACGCATGCGTTACTGTAGCTTCGTACACATGTTGCAGCCGGTAGTAAAAGAAGAATGTGAGGTTATGTCAGAATTGGGTCATTTACAAGTAAATTAAAAATATAGAAAAACAAAAGAAATGCTCTCCAACTAAATGAGAAAACACTTTCAGGAAGCTATGCAATCCATTGCCTTGGTTACAAAGGATCCTCACGTACTGCCAGCTGCTAGTGAGGAATTAATACATGATGCCAAAGCTTCTATTAATTTGTATCCAGAATCTCCCGGTGGCGGCGGAAGTGGTGGTGGCGGTGGCGGAGGCCCTGGTACTCAGCCAGGTTGCTCCAACTCTTTGGGTTCACGGAAATCTTCAGTTTGCTCAATCAGCTCGATGAACAGTAGTGGGTCCAGTAATTCACCCGGACACCCACACTATCCGCGTTCTATGTCACAGGTAGTAAGCTAAACTATCGCATATGCCATCATTAACACTAGATCCACCGGATCAATCAAAGCGGTCTCTTTTAAAATTATAAAAATTTAAGTTTAATCGTATATTCACTCGTCGGGGTTCATAATAAATACACCGACCGCGTCATTGCAATTGTAAAACGAAAAATAAATAAAGAGATTTTTATATCGATTATTCTAATAGTTCTTCACTAAAGTCCACTCCTCCATTTATTGTTACTTTACACAATTGTGTTCCTTAAGTGTCCTGTCATTTCGTTCGCTTACTGCAAATGCGAAAATGCATTTCTGACAAACGCACAAAGAGCGGGCTAGATCGGGCCAATTAGAATTTTTCCAACTAGCAGGAGCATAAGTAACTAAACTTCTTCGAATACGGCGAAGAAATTGATTACATGTAGTCTTTAGTTTTACTAACGCGAGAATTAGTTCTTTCTGATCTTACGCAGTTCAACGAAGATTTTTCATTGGATTTCTTTGATAGATTGTATATTTGAGCGCGACGTACTGGAGTGCTCTTAAGTTATGAGAGAAGAAATTGATAACTTTACACTTTCATATTAATGAATGAAAAAATGGAGAGCCAACAATTCCGAATAGAAGTAATTTCACGAAAACCTAACAGGCGCTTCCGCTAAAAAAGTCTATTAAAATCAAAACTCACAAAATGGAAAATTTCGTATAGATATCGTAAGAACGAGAAGAAGAAGAGAGGAACACAATATTGAAACTGTGTTCGATTTTTCAAAATATTAATCATAAATATGACAAGTAAAATAATTGTAGTGTGTCACGGTCCTACAGCACCTCGCTGGGAACTGGTCGAAAAATTCATCCGATCCGAACCATTTTCAAGAGCGTTTATTCTTGTGTCAGGGCACGTCGGTATATCAATATTCATCAAAATATCTCAAATATTGCGAGCTATGGTACACGAATACAAAGTGGACAGACGGACGAGACATGACATTTGGCATAATAAAAGATGGTTCTATTTCAACCCCTTCTGAGTGTTTGCATGCATTCGCACAACTTAATATACCTTTTTACTACAAGCGGTGTAGGGTATAAAAATATTTAATTATTTCATAGTTTTCAACAATCAACTGCCAAAAAAAAAAGTTTCGGTAGTTCTAGTGTTAATTTTTGAATTAAATAGTTTTTGTTTTTGCATTCTCTTTTTTTGTTTTTTTTAATTGGTCCCTTTTTATTTTTGATTGTGTTATTAAATTTGCTTTTAGTTAATTCCACCTACAGTACGCTTGAAACCGGGTGAATCAAGTGATAGTGGTTTTTGCTCATCGCCAGCTTTAACAACACAGGTTTTTATTTAATTTTTAATTTCCTTTCAAATTTGAATTTTTTTTTTTTATAATTTTGTAATCACTAAGCGAATGGAAATATTTAAATACATATGTATAGATGTGTACATTTTTTGCAATAAAAAAAAAAAAAAAAAAATTGTAGAGATTTCTTTAAACGAAATTTTTTCTTTAGGCTTCTGCTGCCAATAATTCAGTTCACATTAATTCAACTTGGCCACCACATTCCCAAGATGCTGTTGAATTGCCGAGTAACGCTGATCGGCCTCACACCATATCTTCAGCTTATGAGAAAGGTCATCAACGGCCTCCTTTGACTGTTTACACATTTCAAAATCCCGAAACTATAAATGAAAGTTCCGGTTCAGTTAATAATGCAAGTAACACTTCCGGTCCGAATACACCGTCAACCCAAAAGTCACCTGCTGGTGCGCTAAGTCGTCCGCCGTTACCAGTGGTGAGTTTACTTCCAAATATGTTTGGTTTTTCTATTTTTCTATTTTTACATCTTCTAATATTTGTCTTTGTATTAATGTTAAAAGAAACCCGAACGAGTGGTAAGTTTAGATAGAGAGAGACCCTTTCCTTCTCCGTTTTCAATTCTCTTCCGAAAACTCATTCAAATCATAAATCATCAAAACCGACTTCCAATTTTCATATTTATTGTAAAAGTAAAGGAGGAAAAGATTTTTCAATTTCTTTTTTAAAATCTAAAAAGTTTTTATTGAAAATTGAAGAAAATTGCTTAAAACTACGCTATCGCTATATATTTTGTTATGAAGCCTGAATAAAAAGAATGCTATAACCTCGCGTATATTGATTTTACTATATTTCTTTACATATCCTTTTTTTTGGATTGATTGACAACATCTGGCCTTGTTGGAATAATTTTCATATCGCTTTTGCCCACAAAATTTTTATATAAGCCCTAGTTTTTAGTAATCAAAATATTTCAATATCCACCACCTAAGACCCTAAGCACATTTTTTATAACGTCCATAATGTCTTGTTAAAATTCTAAACTTTAGAGACACAAAGACGTCGAATAAAATGATTCCAAAACTCGAAATTCCTGCGACGCGTTACCAACCGTATCGACAAAATGTATAAAAAATCGAAAATTTTATAAATACCCTACGATCGGTAGTAAAAATTTATCTAAAATTCACCTAAGATATCTGCCTACTTAATAGACCAATGAGGGAAACTCTCCTCACCGACTAATGCCAACATTTTAGAAAAAAAAAGAAAACGGAAAAGAGTTTTAAATGTGGTGGATATCCAAAATTCGCCTCACGGCGAATATATATTTCGTATGGTTCCGGCCTATATTCCTACTGCGACTTCATTAAGAGCTTCTCTAATCTCATCATACCATCATTGTGATCTCCTCATTAAGAATGTAGTAAATAATTTGTCGAAAACCAATCTTTGATTTACTTTTCTTTCGAATTTCAGCGCTGTTCGTCGTTGGAGAGACCGTTGGTGGGTAATAACAGTCGTGGTAATAGTAACAATTTATTGCAGCGTCAATGCCCGTCGCCGATACCAGCTCATGTTACGAAAGGTAAGATTCAACAGCTGCTAAGCTTACGTTTTTCGTTTGAAAAACCGGTTACTCGAAAAGATCTGAAAACGGCTTTTGAATCTTGTAACAATAATAATTCACTTTTTTATCTTACCTTCTTTTCTAACGCTGCCGATCTATTAACATCTTTACCTATGTGCTTGTGTATTTATGTTTATGTGCGTGCCTGCGTGCGTGCGTGCCCTTATAAACTGATCTTAACTTGCATGTTAACATTTTTCTGGTGGTATTACATAAAAACGTACTAAACAAATCCAAAATGTAGAGCTATCAGCTCATATCGCACAGCAGCAATTACAACAGCAACAACAACTACAGCTGCAACAACAGCAACAACAACAGCAATTCCAACAACAGCCGCAATTAATGCAACACAACAATTATCAACAATTATCGCAACTTAGCTCTCCGCCCACCTACGTTAATATGTCTGAACTGGCCAATATGGCGGCTATAAAAAATGCTAACCTACAACAACAACAACAACAACAACAGCCACAACAACAATCCGGTGCTGCATTACAGCAGCAACAATCTGTAGATTCCATATCATCAATTCATTCGAATGAGTCAGCAGGTGCTTCACACCATTCCACGCCACCCAATCAAACACCAGCACATCAACATCAATCACAATACACACGTTCCCAATCTACCAATTCCTCTTCGAATGCTTCGTCCTTGCATTCGCATCCATCCATAGAGTCTACAGTGGCTACGTCACTGCAGGGCCAAACACCCACACCGTCCAGTGGCAGCTCCACGCCCCAAAATCATTATTCGCCATTACTCACAAATTCGCCGTCGTCCACTGCTGCGGGTACCCCCAGCGGTGGTAGCATTACCAGCGGCGGTTTAACTGGTAATATAGGTTGTGGCGCTGGTGGTAGCGGGGGTTTTATTTATAATGTTTGCTCTCCAACGCCACCACAAAGTGCTAATACGTCCAGCGCTAGCGATATTTTAAAAATAACCGAAACAGATAGCGGTCAGGGCGTTCCTAACCATACAACTACCCACCAATATCCAAATGTAGTATCCCCACAACAAGAAGCAGCCACAGACGCTGCATCTAATATTCAAATTGTTAACAATCAGGAAACTTCTTCTCCTTCTAAAGCCGATTCATGCTCCAGTATCGTGGAAAACGATGAACGTTCCCGTGCATCAGTTTTGCAAAAGGCGTCAATGTTTGAAAAACAAGCGGCTGCTGTTAAAAACACGCCACCGCCACCGTCGGCGGTAACACGTGGCGCACCAACCACCGATTCTAGTATTTATGGCACTCGCTCTGTGCAACAGCACCAGCATGGGCATCACCAGCAATACCAACATCACCAGCAGCAGTCACAAGCACAAGCTATCGATCAACAGGAAGTGGGTAAGTTTTTGTACACACGTTCGTACCAATTTATTTAATAAATAAAAACAAGGCAAATACAAAGATTCTAACTTATTTACTGCATACACATACACACGCAATGACGATGTGCTCTCTACTTGCATCCTCCCTCTTACTCTTTAGCGTTTTTTCGTTTCCTAAAGCCTTTAAAAAAAAGAAATATTTCACTTGTAAATTTTTCTACATATACAACCGATACATATATAATATATATATTTATGTATTGCAAATCAAGATGACGTTACAATTTATATACGTATCGTTTAAAATAGTATTTCTTTAAATTTTTGATTTCTGTTGACCTCAATCAATTCGTAAGAGATATAAGAAACTCGCCAAGCAAAAGGTAGGTAGATTAATTCTCGAAAAGTCTTTGCCGAGACGAGTTCTGCGGGAATCACTGCACAGGATCCAAATCGACTTTTGTAATATAAATAATATAACACCGATTTTAAGAATACTGCAGCTTGTGTGACCCCATTGTCTTCATATAAATATCGAACAGATAAAAAAGTTATATTCGCCTTGAAATCTTGGAGGTAATTAGTACCTCACGCAGTTGGGGCATATCACATCGCCGAATGGATAAGAGCCGCGGCTACGAAGCCAGCGTTCGCGGCATCAAATCCCAATGCGCTAGACCATCCTTCGTCGTAGCTATAGGGAATGCGTGGACGGTAAACGCATAGGATTTACCGGTTGGCCACAGACCCATTAGACTGCGGCCACTCCCTATCTCTTTTTCTTTCCCTACATCTCAAAAAAAGGAGTTCGCCGCGTGATGAATTTGAGGTGCCTGCCTATTTCCATTAATTCATTAAATAAAAAATACTTCAAGTATTGCGTTAATTCTGAGCATCCCAACTAAGCGATCGCTGCGCTGACCTCCCAGTTGATCACTTTCCTATCAAGCTCCCGCCATAGATCATTAGTTACAGTTTGTTGGAAATACCGGCATATATGAACGCAGAGTATGGCCATCGTTGCCTTAAAGTTTTGAATGGTCTTGCAAAACATCTATTGTAAGTGTAATTTTAACAACTGCTACGAATTTTATGCCTGAATACTTACAATTTTTCCAAAAAGAGATACTTTTTTGAGTTCGTCATTGCTCAAGAATATATATAAATAGTTCTTGCCGGGGTTGATGTTTCACATATTTCTAGATATTACAAATGAGAGAATAAACCTAACCTACTTCCACACGGTGATATAACTCAAATTTTGTCACTTAAGGCTTCTAGCAACGAACACACAAAGCACAAGAATGGATTGAAAGCGGTCTATTCTTGCGGGCCCTATCCATTGAACGCTCTGCTTTGAAACAGTCGCTGTATGAAACAAGTGAAAATTATAGGATAACATGGCCCACTATTAAATACCCTATACCACTGCCCTTACCGTAGTTATTCATATATAAGCGATCCGATCCGAATCATTTTCAATAGCATTCATCCTAAGATCTCATAAAAATATCTCAAAAATCGCAGCCTGCAGGTTGACAGGCGAACAGACATGATTAGATCGATTCACAAATTGATTCTGAATTGATCGGTACAATAGAAGGTGGGTCTATGTCAAGCCCTTGTGAGTTCTGCCTACATCCGCATAAACTGGTGCAGGGTATAATAATTGCATAATTGTCAATCTTTGTCGATGAAAATCGCCAAACGACAATATTTGGATAACTAAATGAAAATTTTCGGAAAGCTTGGGTAGAATAGAAAGATTCTTTGACTCTTTTGCCCGTTAGCGTTTTTACAAAAAATTAGGTCATCTTACAAGGAAAGCATGTGAAAAGTAAAAAGTTCTATGGGAAAGAAAAGTAACTTTGCCAAGTTTGGACCATATCGGTTCATGGCTCCAGCAACTCCTCCTATCGCTTGACAATATAAACTGAGTATGGCTTACAATTATTTACCTTAAGCAAATTCTTAGCAGCGAAGATATGCAGGCAAGATCTTTAATGGTTGCCCGCTGTTCTATTTCATCTTGTTTTCTTATCTCTTACGAATTGCAACAAAGTGTTTTCTGTTTTTTTTTTTATCTATTCTTTCATTGATTGACAATTTTATTTATTTTTCCTTTTTTATGTTTGTTTATTAAAGATTTTGTTTTCTGTTCTTTTGCTCTTATGTTTCTTTCTTTCTTTCTTTTTCTGTTTTCTTTATACAACACAACACAATTTACACCCTACCTATTACCTTACAATTAATGGCACCCAAATAACCATCACAACTAAAATCCCAAATATAAAAAACAACACCGAAAACAAAACAAACAACAACAACAAAAAACCAAATATCAAATTTTATAATAAATAATTTCACTCAAAAAATTTAATTGATATACTTGTACATAATCAAAAAAAAAAATTAAAATAAAAATAAAAAAAAAAACAATGGCACCGTTTTTGTTTTTATGTTTTTTTGTTTAATGTTCAAATGTATAAATTGGTTGAAACAACAAAAAATTGAATTAAAAACGAAAACACTGCACCACTGTACACACTGTACACGCACCTATCTACCCGCTCCTCTTCTCTATAGATAAGTGTTTTGAAGATTCGATACAAGAACTAAATAATTTAATTGGCGAATTAGACTCATTTCAACGGGAAATAGATGCGAGTAAGCAGCCACACCAACTACAACAACAACAGCAGCAGCAGCAGCAGCAACAACAACAACAACAACAACAACAACAGAAAACACAACAACTATCTCCAGCAGGGGCAGCAATAGACTCATACGATTGCAATGAAACTATGACAATAATTACGGATGAAAACAGCACGACCATCATATGTGAGCAACCGAATCAATCGCAGGCACAGATGTTAACCAAACACCATTTGGATTGTTGCAGTGCTAGCAATCAGACAAACAGTAGCGGTTGCGGTACTGATATTTCCGATACTACGTCCGACGACTGTGGTGCAGATACACAATCAATTACTAGTCTTAATTATCACAACAACAATAATAATAATATAAATAATAGTAATTTGGTTAAACGTAATCTGAAATCGTTATCTGAAGCGAACTATAACAGTGATTCCGAATTGAGTCGTTGTTATGTAAGTGAGACAAGTTCATTGATGGGCAGAGGTGATGGTGATGGGTATGAAAATCCTACATTTGCTTTATTTGCGGCTACCTCTTCTTCTTCATCAATGGCGTTTGAAGACAATCGTTCGGACAATGTAATGATGCCGACTCGGCAAGCATATGTGGATAATATTAGCGATAACGGTAGCGGAGTTGTGGTTATTTATGATCATCAACCGCCCATTACTCCGGACATTGATTACGTTAAGCAAAATTCAGAAATAGTTATGTTGCGGACGAAGCCTCAACAACAAGTGCAATATCAACATGAGGTTTGCGAATTGCAACAATTGCCAGCCAATCTATGCGAAAATCTTGTCTCACCTAGCGACGGGGGTGAACAGCATGTGGCCACCGTGGCACCAGCGAAACAACGTCTTTCGTCGTTCCGTGCCTCCAGTGAACAATTGCAATTGCTCAATAACAATACTATGGCCGCAAAAGGTATGCAAAATTCCAATTCTAAAATTCAAGAAAATGGCGATCGAGTTATTGTTACTCAAGGAACAATGACTGCCATGACCGCACACAGCAGCAGCGATACCATAATACGAAGAAAATTACCACCAAAACCGCCTATGCTTAGTGTCTTAAACGGCCAACGTGAGGGCGGCTTGAGAGGTTCGAAGGCTTTGGAATTAAGTAATGCTATTAAAGAGCAGCATCAAAGTTTAAAGAAGCCTCTTAACGTCGATTTCAAAACGGATTTAGAAGCAAAAATACTTAAACAAAAACAAAAATTACTATTACAAGAACAACAAGAAAAACAGCAACAGCGATTACAACGACAATCATCATTACATCCATCGCCTAAAGTATTTAATGTTGAATGTAATGCTCAACAATCAATTACCGCTGCTCAAACAATATCACCCCCATTATCAATAACAATAGCAGAAACGATACCAACTACATCATCATCATCACCATCATTATCATCGTCATCTGCTTCATTACCATCATCACCATTGTCACTACCATCAAATACTAGCCATAGTAATAATATATCAAATCATCCTTTAAATCCGTCATCAACGATAAAACATCACATTACAAATCTTACAAATCATACGAATACTAAAATACCCATAATGGCAGTTCATTCATTAAATGTTGTAGCAAATTCCTCCTCAACACCTTTACCACCTCCTCCCCTGCCGCCATCAAACTCCGATACTGCCAACTGTAGACCTTCCTCCGCCACGACACCGACAGCTACCGTGGGAAAACCGAGCATTACTCCACGACCAGCCTCTTTATCGGGTTTGTCTGCGTTTGATTTTCTTTTTCTTTCTTCTTTAATGTTTTACTTTTAAAAAATCTCTTCATTTATTATATTGCTTTCCGGGTTTTGGGTGTAGAAATAATCCTTCGTTCGTTCTAACAAATGAAATGAGAAAACATTTTCTGTTAAAATGTTTTTTATTAAATTATACCCGTCAATAAGAGTGTACTAGATTTGCAAAGGAATATGTAAAAATAAATATAGTTTTATTAAAGCAAGTCCGTCCGACCGCATTGCCGCTTGGCCGTTCGTTAAAGCAATAATCACAATAGGTAAGTAAAACGCTATAATGGGACGCGGCCTTCGATTAAATAGCCTTCATCAGCCCACAGTTACTCATGTAACGAGTTTTCACAGTGTGGTGTTATATAAGAAGCGGTCGAAAAAGTAGTCCGATTTGAATCATTTACAATAGCGTTCGTCCTTGGTTCAAAACACTTCAGTGTACCAAATTTCACCAAAATATCTCAAAAATTGCCGCATGTAGGCTAAACAAAAGAAACCAATGCGAACAGACAGACAGACACGCTTAAATTAATTCAGAAAATAATTCCGAATCGATCGATATACCAAAAGGGGGCTCTACGTCAAGTCTTTCTGGGTTTTGAATAGACGCTCATATCTCGACTACATCGGACTATCATATAAAACCTACAGCACGCTTTCTGTGAATGCGATTCTTAGCTAAGCTATTGGTTTGTGACTTGAATGCCTGTTGTGTGTATTGTATTGTTATATGGGCAGTCTGGTTTACTGTATTCGTTCATGCTCGTCCGTCACCGTCTGACATTATGAAGTGTTCGCCAAATACATGGGGTCTCATTCTGATCACATGGAATATTATGAGATGTTTCACTTATCCCTTGGCAGATCCCGCCTGTCTATCAGATAATACATGAAGGAATTATAACCCACATGAAATATATATAATGTATACAACACGGTGTGCGATCGATCAACGCTCGAAATATCAAGCACTCATTTATTTTGTAATCAATTATGCTACAACAATCATTGATGGGTATTAACGTAGATTCGGCTCAAGTCGAATATGGTTTCTTTCTTGTTTCACATTTAAAAGTTTATGTCTTTTTGCTTTCTAATAAAAGAACATGGGAAGGGGTTTTTAGGCATTTTTAAAACTATTACAAAACGTGTCTTTCTTTTCAAATTCTTGAAGACATATCCATTTTGGTCAGTGGCATTACCCCCCACAGATTTCCCCATCATAACGGGGATTCATGGCATCATTCCCATAGATTTATATCCAACCCTTTCACTGAATTTAATGTATTTAAATTGTTAGATTAGCTTAACACTTATTTAACTTCTTCCCTCTTATGTTGCCCCTTCACCTTGCCTAACACCTACTTAATCGCTTCCCACTTACATTGTCCCTTCTTGTAATACTTATTGAATCCTTTCCAACTTACGTAGCCTGTTCATCTCGTAACACTTGCTTAATCTATTCCCACTTACGATGTCTCTTCTCGTAACAATTGTCGAATCCGTTCCCTCTTACGTTGTCCCCTTCCGTAACGTTTACTTAATCGCCTCCCGCTTACTTTTCCCCATTTTTCTTGTAACACTTATTTAATTCTTTGTTTTCTTAATTATTATTTTTATTCACTTGGTGTTCATCGTTAGTACACTTTCGCATCACATTTGAAACTAAAAAAAAAAAAAAAAAGAAGAAAATAAAACAAAATAAATAATTAAAAAAACAAACACATTTGACAACATTTGAGCATTCAATATAATTCAATTCACCTATAAATACTTATATATGCATATATACATACATATATAGATATATATATATATATACATTAATGTGTACATGTGTATATTATACATACACCTGACAACAACAATAAAATTTTACTATTCCCACTGGATTGTGAACGTTGCTTGCCTGAACCGCCTTTCAATGTTTAAACAACAACAACAACAACAACAATAACAGTTTAAAGTATATTTATAAATTGGCGAAATATTTCTCATTGGCAGCTACTTTTCAAGGAAAAGAAGAAGAAGAAGAAGAAATTCAAATACACAAATATCTCTTCTTCATTCCACATTTGATTAATCATTTTTAAATTCGAATATCTTTGAAAATAATTTTGCTTTAAATTGTTTTACATCAAATCAATCAATATTAATTAATATGCAACATATACATATATATCGAACTATTATTGGTATTATGGTGTCTTGTGTGTCTTGTGCATATAGCTAACAGTCACTGTTTTTTAAAAATCCATTAAAAAAAAAAACAAAATGTATTATAAACTAATATTTAAAATAACACTTTTGAAGAAAAATATTTTGTAAAAAATTTCCAATTTATTATATTATTTAGGAGGAGGAAGTAATACACGTGTAACTAGGCGATCGTCTATAAATACTGCCAAACCACCGCCACCTATTAGACGTAGTTCATCAGTAACCCCTAGTCCAAATGCTCCAACTACGGTAAGTCTTCATATATATATATATATATAGGCAATCAATCAAAATAAAGTTAAATAATATCCTGCCATAGCGTAATTCACTTAATTAGTGTAACAATTAGTTTAGAAACAAATTGGTGACAAATTTAGAAGAAGCATTTTGAACAAAAAAGCACACAACATTTTTACTTGAATGAATCTCTTTTCAGTTTAAATTTATTAACTATTATTTTTAAAATTTTGTTTTTTTTATAATTTTTTTTTTTTTTTTTTTTTTTTTTTTGTTTCCTTTCAATGAATCAAAAATCACTTTAACCATTAATTTAGCCTACACATTCAAACTCTACGAATTTATTGCACCATCAAACGCACTCATTAAACACATCTACCGAGAATTTACCACCACCGCCGGCTTATTTACTCGAATCATCGCGACATTTTCCCACCATCCCCTTAGCGCCGGCATCATCTTCACCAGTAGCAGGGATAGCAGCGGGCGGAGGTATGTTGAATGCATCACAAAAAGTAAGTGAAGCTGTAAAAGCTTTAACAGCCTTACGTTTACAATCCGGTTCTCCTCATAATTTCAAACGTTCGCACGGCGATCAGGAACATTTATCGCCGTTATCGCCGCATCAGCAATCAGTGTTACAGGTGAGCCGATGCAATTAAAGGAAACTTTTAGCAGGTCTTTGAAAAGGTTTCATGGGCTTTTCAAAGCAATGTTTTTTGCTTTCTAACTCTTACTTGTGAGATCTGCTTCAAATTTTAATCGAAATAATCAATCAAAGTTTAAGCTTAAAGGTATGGTGTATTTATAAAAGCTACTCTCACCAACCACACTATAAAGCAAATTTTTATAAATTTTCTTTGCTTTAAGTTAATTTTATTCATTTATCTATTTATTTATTTTCTTATAATTTATTGTCTCACTACACCCGCCTACACCTACACTACACCTCTCGCTTTAGAGTCCTAAATATCAAGTAGATATTTATACTACTACTACTACCGCTACCACTATCACTGATAACGTTACGACATCAACACGTAGATCTCCACTGCTATTACCACCTATGCATGATAAAGACAGCTTTGAAGTTTATTATAATCCTTATAATGATTTACAAACGGCTGTTACTAATAATCACTTAATGCCTAAGCAAAGCACTGCCAATACTGATGCAGAGCTTGATTTGCGTAATGAGTTCTCCCCAATTTACCAACAGCTATCACCGAAACCATATCATCACCAACATACCAGATCTTCTCCCTCATCTCTCTCCCCAAACAATACTATAACCGGTTTT